ATTAGGAACAAAAAGAATCCTAACAATGGTGTTAGTTCATTACTATGTGGAAATGGTAGCATTATCAATAGTAATACAGAAAAGGCAGAAGTGTTCAATAAATATTTTTGTTCTGTATTAGGGGAAAAAAACAGATGACATAGTCATGTCAGATATGATAACACTCTGTCCATTCCACCAGCATCTCAGGAGAATGTTAAAAAAGTAGCTACTAAAGTTAGGCATTTTATCAGCAGGTTCTGATAACTTGTATCCAAGAGTTTTTAAAAGAGGTGGCTGAGGAGCTTGGTGGACCATTAAGGCTGATTTTTAATAAGTTTTGGAGCACTGGGAAATTTCCAGAAGACCATAAGAAAGTTAATGTTATGCCACTATTTTAAAAGGGTAAATCGGGTTACTGGTGCAATTATAGGCCTGTCAGACTGACATCGATCCCGGTCAAGATAATAGAAAGACTGAATTAAAGGAAGGTGATATAAGTAATGCCAATCAACCTGGGTTAATGGAAAATACATCCTGTCAAACTAACCTTATGTCTTTTTTTAAGTTTACAAGTTTGGTTGATGAAGCTAATAGTGTTGATGAAATATACTTAGACTTCTGTAAGGCATTTTACTTGGTAACACATGACAGTTTGATTAAAAATCTAGAATGATATAACGTTAACATGGCACACATTAAATGGATTAAAAGCTGGCTAACTGATAGGTCTTCAAATGTAATTATAAATGAGGAATAATCATCAAGTGGGTGTGTTTTCTGTGGAGTTCCATCCATGGGGATTGGTTCTTGGCCCTATACTTTTTAAAATTTTTATCAGTGACCTGAAAGAAAATATAAAATCATCACTGATAAAGTTTGCAGATAACCCAAAAATTGGGGAAGTGGTAAATAATGAAGAATACAGATCACTGATTCACAGAGATCTGGATCGCTTGGTAAACTGAGCACAAGCAAACAATAAGCATTTTAATATGGCTAAGTGTAAATGTATACATCTGGGAACAAAGAATGTAGGTCACACTTACAGAATGGGGAACTCTCTTCTGAGAAGCAGTGACTCTGAAACGGATTTGGCAGTTGTGGTGATTAATCAGCTGAAAATGAGCTCCCAATGTGATGCTCTGGCCAAAAGAGCTACTGTGATCTTAGGTTTCAGAGTAGCAGCCGTGTTAGTCTATATCCACAAAAAGAAAAGGAGTATTTGTGGCACCTTAGAGACTAAAAAATTTATTTGAGCATAAGCTTTCGTGAGCTACAGCTCACTTCATCGGATGCATACAGTGGAAATACTGTATGCATCCGATGAAGTGAGCTGTAGCTCACGAAAGCTTATGCTCAAATAAATTTACTGTATGCATCCGATGAAGTGAGCTATAGCTCACGAAAGCTTATGCTCAAATAAATTTGTTAGTCTCTAAGGTGCCACAAGTACTTTTTTTCTTCTTACTGTGATCCTAGGATGCGTAAAATAAATTAATCTTGAGTAGGAATAGAGAGGTTATTTTACCTCTGTATGTGGTGCTGGTGTGACTGGTGCTGGTGTGACCGCTGTTGGAATACGATATCTAGTTCTGGTGCCACAGTTCAAGAAGAACGTTGATATATTGCAGAGGGTTCAGAGAAGAGCCACAACAAAATGGTTAAAGGATTAGAAAACCTGCCTTGTAGTGATAGACTCAAACAGCTCGTTCTATTTAGCTTAACAAAGAGAAAATTAAAGGATGACTTGATTACATGAGGAACAGATATGTAATAATGGGCTTTTCAATCTAGCAGAGAAAGGTATAACAGGATCTAATACCTGGAATTTGAAGCTAGACAAATTTAGACTGGAAATATGGTGTAATTTTTCGACAGCAAGGGTAATTAATCATTGGAACAATTTACCAAGGGTTATGGTACATTGTCCATCACTGGCTATTTTTAAATCAAGATTAGATGTTTTTCTAAAAGATCTGCTCTAGGAATATTTGGGGGAAGTTCTATGGCCTGTGTTATATAGGAAGTCAAACTGGATGATCACAATGGTGCCCTCTGGCCTGGGAATGTATCCGTTTATGAATCTTCCTCTCTCTTTCACTCCCCCCACAACCCACAGCTTCCCAAACAACTCTTCACCTGTCCTTCTTACAAAGGGCAGTTTCTTCTCTAAATACCCACTCACCAAGTTTTCCACTTTCTAAGTCCCACCTGAGTCTGTGTCAGTGGGAGCTGCTTGGATGCTCCGTACTTCTGAAAATCAGGCCACTTACTTAATTGCCTAAATATGGTTTTGGAAGCCAAACTTCGGACTTTTTTGAAAATTTTGGTCAGTATTGGTTAGGCACTCAAAGTCAGGAAATACCAAAGTTAAGTTTGCATGTGTAACCTTAACTGTGCCCCCTTGTACATAAGCACTGTAATGCTGTCTTTAATTACATTATAATATACACTATTAAATATTGTCATATAATACACAGGTTTCAGAGTGGTAGTCATGTTAGTCTGTAGCAGCAAAAAAAAATGAGGAGTACTTGTGGCTTAGAGACTAACAAATGTATTTGGGCATAAGTTTTCATGGGCTAAAACCCACTTAATTGGATGCATGCAGTGGAATATACGATAGGAAGATATATATAAACACAGAGAAGATGAAAAAATGGGTGTTGCCATACCAACTGTAACAAGACCAATTAATTAAGGTGGGCTATTATTAGCAGGAGAAAAAAAACCTTTTGTAGTGATAATCAGGATGGCCCATTTCAAACAGTTGACAAGAAGATGTGAGTAACAGTAGGGGGGAAAACAATTGGCATGGGGAAATAGTTTTTACTTTGTGCAATGACCCATCCACTCCCAGTCTTTATTCAAGCTTAATTTAATGGTGTCCAGTTTGCAAATTAATTCCAATTCTGCAGTTTCTCATTGGAGTCTGTTTTTGAAGGTTTTTTGCTGGAGAATTGTGACTTTTAGGTCTGAAATTGAGTGACCAGGGAGGTTGAAGTGTTCTCTGACTGGTTTTTGAATGTTATAATTCTTGATGTCTGATTTGTGTCCATTTATTCTTTTGCGTAGAGAGTGTCTGATTTGGCCAATGTACATGGCAGAGGGGCATTGCTGGCACATTATGGCATATGTCACATTAGTAGATGTGCAGGTGAACGAGCCTCTTATGGTGTGGCTGAATTGATTAGCTCCTATGATGGTGTCCCTTGAATAGATTTGTGGACAGAGTTGGCAACAGGCTTTGTTGCAAGGATAGGTTCCTGGGTTAGTGTTTTTGTTGTATGGTGTGTGGTTGCTGGTGAGTATTTGCTTCAGGTTGGGGGGCTGTCTGTAAGCGAGGACTGGCCTCTCTCCTAAGATCTGTGAGAGTGAGGGATCGTCCTTCAGGATAGGTTGTAGATCCTTGATGATGCACTGGAGAGGTTTTAGTTGGGGGATGAAGGTGACGGCTAATGGCGTTCTGTTACTTTCTTTGTTGGGCCTGTCCTGGAATAGGTGACTTCTGGGTATTCTTTTGGCTCTGTCAATCTGTCAATTCTCCAACAAAAAAACTTCAAAAACAGACTCCAATGAGAAACTGCAGAATTGGAATTAATTTGCAAACTGGACACCATTAAATTAAGCTTGAATAAAGACTGGGAGTGGAAGGGTCATTGCACAAAGTAAAAACTATTTCCCCATGCCAATTGTTTTCCCCCTACTGTTACTCACATCTTCTTGTCAACTGTTTGAAATGGGCCATCCTGATTATCACTACAAAAGGTTTTTTTTCTCCTGCTGATAATAGCCCACCTTAATTAATTGGTCTTGTTACAGTTGGTATGGCAACACCCATTTTTTCATGTTCTCTGTGTATATATATCTTCCTACTGTATTTTCCACTGCATGCATCCGATGAAGTGGGTTTTAGCCCACAAAAGCTTATGCCCAAATAAATTTGTTATTCTCTAAGGTGCCACAAGTACTCCTCGTTTTTATATAATACACAGTTTTTCTAAAAGTATGGATGGAGCTTCTTATAGAACTATGTACTACAAAATATGATTTTTTTTCTTCTCAATGTATTTTTAATAGAAAATGACCTTGTGGATTCTACTTAGCATACAAAATAGCTTCATTATTCTAAAAAAGTAATCACTTCTTTGGTGTAGTAGAATCTGTATAAAACACTTAGTTATTCAACCAAGTTTGTATGTTTTTAAAGCAGAGTTAGAGCAGAAATCATGTCTACAGTCATCTTGTCTACAGATAAAGTTTATTTTTGTAGTAATGTATTGTTATTTACATTTGTGTCAAGTGCATTGGCCTTCAATTATACTTTATAAAAAAAAAGAACCACGAATATCATTTTACTTAAGAAAAAATTTAGGTTCACAATAAAAGTAAATGCTGAAAGAACATTTAAACAATTAGAAGCTTACTGCAGCCTTACATGAAACCTTTTAGAAATAGTCTGTAGTTTTAAAAAATCCAATTAACATTCTTTCTGTTAGAAACAGGGGTTTTACCTATTACAAAGACACCCCCCCCTTTTTTTTTTCAAGAGACAAGAAGTTCATACAAAATTCTACCATCTTCATTTTTTATAAACAGAACGAATAATAAGTAGCTGTTTACAACACTCAATAATGCAATCTAAAGGACTAACTGATAAATTAATTGGAAACTGTGGCTCTAATACATTATTTTTGAATTTAAGCACATGAGATTGAATTGTTTCTGAAGCAGCATGCCTAATTATTGTATCTTCTACATTCATCTGTTTAAGTCATTCCCAATTTTTCGATTGTTGCCTAGAATATTGCTGCAATACCTGTTTCAATTGGTTATTCCCTTGTCGTGAATTACTTCATGAAAGGGGCTATTTAATATTTTGTTTAATTTAAGTCTGCACTATTTTACTGCAGTAACTGCACATTTTCAGTGTCTATGATAAAAAGGTGGTGATTGTTTTTCAAAATGTTGCTTTTTAAAAGGTTGAATATAAACTGATATTTTATTTGTTTTGTCAGGTCAATTATTAAAAAGTGCCTTTGTGAAGTCACTTTTACAAGAGAAGACTGCGACGCCTGAATGTGTTTTCAAAATATTATCTCTGCCAGCTAGACATTGCCCTGACCTTCTATGTCACAGAAGACACCTCAACTGTCTTGGTTTGCCAATTGCTTGATGTGAAACTAGCTTCCATATTAAAAAAGCTGAAGAAAGAATTACTGCCAGGACGTGAATAAGCTGACTACATTGCTTTTCCTGTGTAATCGATACCAGCAAGCAGCCTGCAAAGAATTAATATTATCTCAAGGAGTGCCATTGCACTGAAGTAACTTTATTTAAAACTGTTGTCAGTGATCCAATCAAGAGACTCAGATATTTACAGCCAGAGATGCTACTGAGCATGATTTTTTTGCAGCCAAAAGTCTACAAGTGGGACATATTGATTGATGAGTGACTGCTTGCTGATAAATTGTCTTTGCTCATTCTGCTTGGTGTGTACTGGGCTCCATTAAGCAATTTATTACTTCATTGCCGATAGAAAAAAAGCACAGAGCTTCTCTCTCTCAACTATAGCTTTTGGAATTGTTGTAGATTGGCTTGGCATAATTCACTTAATAGTCATTCACAAAACCTAAATCAGTTTTTCATCATGGCTTTGAATGTTGCTCCTGTAAGAGATACAAAATGGCTGACATTAGAAGTGTGTCGACAGTTTCAGAGAGGAACTTGTTCACGCTCTGATGAGGAATGCAAATTTGCACATCCCCCCAAAAGTTGCCAGATTGAAAATGGAAGAGTTATTGCCTGCTTTGATTCCCTAAAGGTAAGGAAGAAAGTTGCATGTGTTAATGCTAATGCTAAAATACAAATAATTTACAAATACTTTACATCAAAAATATAAACAATAATTTCATCTTAACGTTCATCCATTCAAAACAATTTGTTCTAGGAGTACTGCATGTGATGCAGATTTTGTTTGTCTTAAGTTTTGTTTATGCAAGCTTTAAAAGAATTTGTGTTTGAGTGTTTTCCTGTCAGATGTAAATGTCTGTTTACACATCCAAACTGTATAAGACTGTGGAATGCACAATTATTGACATCTAATTTGTCCATTGTGTTCACATGAGTACTTTTCATGCTTTATCACTGTTCCATGTCAAATGTCTGGTTTAAAACGTAGGCCATTGTGCCATTGATAATAAAGCAAATTACAATAAATTAAAGGGTTTAATTTAGATCCACAGAAGAATAGATATGTGGACAGAGTTGGCAACAGGCTTTGTTGCAAGGATAGGTTCCTGGGTTAGTGTTTTTGTTCAACTTTAACTCGCCGTATCATGCCTACTCTAGGTATTGGCAGGTCTAAGCTGAGTCCATAGCATTACTAGTCGTATGTACTGCTGTTTCAACTGTATAGACTATGAAGTAAGTTAAGAATAGAGTGGAAGCTTACAAGTACACTCTTATGAGTTAACATTCGTGGCCAATCATATTTCCTAACTTCTCATATCTTAAAACATTAGCCTTTTTAAACAAACAGACAAAGCATAAACTTACAGGACTTTTGAGACCAAAGCTTTTTATGTTTAAGTATGTATGCATATTTTTAGCATGAGAAACAACAATCAGTTTGACAGGAGGGAGAAATACAACTTGAATGATAGGCATGTTCAGGGTACTCGTAAGGTGCCAGAAGCTGGTTCAGATTTCTCTTTAATGACAGGTTGGTGCTGGAGAGGTGGCCTGTGAGAACATCTGAGGCTTTCTGGTGATGAAGACAACGGTCATTTAAAGAATAATGAAAGTGTAGAGTTTATCAAAAATGTGAGTTTGGATACAGGAAAAAATAAGTGAAATGTGGTGGGAAAGAACATTGTGGTGAGCAGGCAATGGGGGTACTTACTGTTTTCTCTGTTTTTAGTTGGCTGAGATTTTGCCAATTTTATCCATTAGCTACAGCATGAATTTACACCACTCAAAGACGGGGCTGGTGCAACACCCTGACCCATATCTGGCTGTAGTGGGAATGAAAATGATTGCGGGAAAGAGGACAAACAATTGTTGCTGCTACCACCAAAGCAAGAGATTGGCTCACTGGGCTTGCCATGAGAGGGAGGCCTGTCTAGGTTTTGTGTGACCAGGTAATTGGCTTTGTTGAGCAAGGCTGTGCAGCGTTGGATTTCCCTCATCTGAAGTCAGTTATTGTGGACTTTGACTTCACTGCAGAGCTCAAGGAACTGGCTGCACCACTCTCATTCTCTGTTTTCCACTAGCTTGGGGTTACTAGTTATTTGGTGAGGTCAGCTGTTCTTCGGCAGGAGCAAGACGCCTGGTTAATTTCATTTCAAACCTCTCTGCAGAAGAAGACAGCATTTCCTTGTCTGGGTCAAGCCTTCTGGGGAGGGATTTTCCCTGGCAATTCTGCGGAGATAGGTCTGAGGCTCCACGGGTCTTAAACCTGGGTGCACAGGTCTCTAAGAAACCCACATATCCTAGCCACTATCTAGCAGTTTGCTGGGCTGAGTGGCTCATGGATCCCTAGCCCCACCAGAGGCACCACCCACAGGAATCTTGATTGGAAGCGTGCTTGGACCCACCAATTGGTCTGGATGTACTACTTAAGCCAGAAGGAGGCAACTGGGAGAGGCCCTGACTGGCTGCTACATTGCCTTCTTGCCTGAGTCCTGCTTTGCTGCTTTGTTCGTGATCCCTGCCGCTATCCTATGGCACTGACTCTGACCATTGGTTGGAGTCACTGATTCTGATTCCAACTCTGACCTTTGGCCCTGGCATTCGGCCTCTGACTCTGATTCTGACCTTTGGCTCCGAATCTCAAGAAAGAGATCTTGGAGTCACTGTGGATAGTTCTCTGAAAACATCCATTCAATGTGCATTGGCAGTCAAAGAAGCAATTAGAATGTTGGGAATCATTAAGAAATGGATAGATAATAAAACAGAAAATATAATAATGTCTCTATATAAACCCACATCTAGAATACTGCATGCAGATGTGGTCGCCCCATCTCAAAAAAGATATATTGGAATGGGAAGAGGTTCAGAAAATGGCAACAAAATGATTAGGGGTATGGAACGGCTGCCATATGAGGAGTGATTAATAAGACTGGGACTTTTCAGCTTGGAAAAGAGATGACTAAGGGGGGGATTTGATAGAGGTCTTTAAAATCATGACTGGTGTGAAGAAAGTAAATAAAGTGTTATTTACTCCTTCTCATAACACAAGAACTAGGGGTCACCAAATGAAATTAATAGGCAACAGGTTTAAAAGAAACAAAAGGAAGTATTTCTTCACAAAACCTGTGGAACTTTTTACCAGAGGATGTTGTGATGGGCAAGTCTATAACAGGGATCAAAAAAGAACTAAATAAGTTCATGGAGGATAGGTCCATCAGTGGCTATTACCCAGGATGGACAGGAATGGTGTCCCTAGCCTCTGTTTGCCAGAAGCTGGGAATGGGTGACAGGGGATGGATCATTTGATGATTACCTGTTCTGTTCATTCCCTCTGGTACACCTGGCATTGGACACTGTTTGAAGACAGGATACTGGGGTGGATGGACATTTGGTCTGACCCAGTATGGCCATTCTTATCTGGCTTGACCCTTAGTTTTGGCATCTAGCCTCTGACTCTGGTTCTGACCTTTTGGCTCTGTTTTCTGGTACATGACTCGTGTTCTGACCACTAGGAATGACTGTCCATGTCCCAGTCCCTAAAACTAGCTGCCTCATGATCCTGGCAAGGATGCTGACCAAAGAGATGATTGTTTGGGGTTTTTTTCTGAATGGAACCAGTGTCAGTCCAAAATGCTATGGGTGGTGATTGGATGAAGGAAGGTGGTAGAGAACCTTTCCCTCCAACCCCCCAGCTCAGACCCATTGGTTACAGGAGTTGGCCTTCCTTTGAAGGGCTGCCAAGATAGTGTGAGGACATAATATTTCATCCCTCGTCTTCTATCAACTCAGGTTCATTTTCTCTAGGGCTGGATGGAACATGCCATTGGAAGTCCTGGCTCACTGAAGCTGTCTGTCCTTGGCTGGATGTTTTAGTGCCAAGGAACAGAAAGTACTATCCAAATCAAACTGACACTCTTCAGAGAGTAACTTTGCACATACCAATAGACTGCCACTTAACAGTCTGACCGTGTCCTTGATTGGGGTGAAGGGAGGTGGGAGTGACTTGAACCTTTTTTCTGGGTTTTGGGGAGTATGATAGCATCAGGAAGCGTAAAGTGCTTGGGGTTAAGCTGGGCCAGTTGGAGGAGGTGGATGGTAGTGCTGAAAAGTAAAAGTTAAACTGCAAGTGTGCTGAAGAAGACTTGGCTAAATAATGCTTTCTGGGTACTCTTTCATGGTGTGGCTACTTGGACCCATCAAGACTCCTGCAGGCAGTGGTGCCCAACCTTATTATACAGGAGGGCCATATAAACCTAAGCACAACCTTGTGTGGGCCAAACAGATTCTACACATTTTAGTTAATCACTTTTACTGATTTATGTTTTATGTTCAGCTTGTTTTGTATGTATTTAGATAGGTTATTTCTAAGTATAGTACTGTCTGTTTGCACACTTGTGTAAACTAAAATGATGTAAACATGATGACAAAACGCTAATGAATCAGCTGTTAGTATATTATGTTGAAGCAGGCCACAGGCCTTATGAAATGCTCTGCTGGGTCGTAGGTTGGGCATCCCTGCCCTAAGCCAAATGCAGCCTCTTGTATTTTCATTTTCATTTCCCCCCATCGCTGCCCAGAGTATTCTCTCCAGCCTCTGCTTAGTCAGCTTATTCTTATTTTTTTTTGGTGCAGAGTCCTCCATTTCTTTATTTTCCAGCCTCTTCCACAGAATAGACTGTCCCCAAAGAAGAAAGTTTCCTTTTCCATGGTAAGTGCCACCAACAAATATCTGGGTTTGTGTACATGCAGGATCGTGCTGATTTAACTAAAGGTGTGATTTAAAAAGGACTGTTAAAACTGGTGTGTCCTCTCTTCAACCAATGTAAACCTGGTTTACTTTGATTTATCTTAAGTTGATTAGGAACAGGTGTAAACTAAATCAAAATAAGCTACCCTTAAACTGACGTGAGTGTGTCTAAACAGGGTTTTGCACTGGTTTAAGTAAATGTTTAAAAACTGATTTAAGTTGAACTTATGCAATTTCAGTGCGTAGACAAAGCCTTGGTCTCTTTTGTGAACAGTTTCTACCTGACTGGCTGCTGCAGCATTACCGCTGAGAGCATATGAGGCCACCCTGTCTGCTGCTGGCACCCACTTCAAGTGCCAGAGAGCTGTCAGATTTTAAAACTTTGGGCACTGTGACAAAGTTCCTCCTCTACCTAGGTGGGTCTTGCACTTATTGGTGGATTTGCTCGCCTTGGAGCTTCACGGCAGCCCTCCATTTGGCCATTTTTGTGAACCCACAGTCCAGGTCAACTCCTCCTGTGTCTGACCAGGAGTTGGGAGGTTTGGGGGAAACCCGGGCCCGCCCTCTACTCTGGGTTCTAGCCCTCCAGGGCCCTGTGGAATGCAGCTGTCTAGAGTGCCTCCTGGAACAGCTGTGCGACAGCTACAACTCCCTGAGCTACTTCCCCATGGCCTCCTCCCAACACCTTCTTTATCCTCACCATAGGACCTTCCTCCTGATGTCTGATAATGCTTGTACACCTCAGTCCTCCAACAGTCCGCGTTCTCACTCTCAGCTCCTAGCACCTCTTGCTCCCAGCTCCTCACATGCACCACAAACTGAAGTGAGCTGCTTTTTAAACCCAGGTGCCCTGATTAGCCTACCTTAATCGATTCTAGCAGCTTCTTGATTGGCTGCAGGTGTTCTAATCGGCCTGTCTTAATTGTCTCCAGAAGGTTCCTGATTGTTCTGGAACCTTCCCTGTTACCTTACCCAGGGAAAAGGGACCTACTTAACCTGGGGCTAATATATCTGCCTTCTATTACTCTCCTATAGCCACCTGGCCCAACCCTGTCACAGCACCTTTAATTTGACTTAGATGTTAATTATCCATTATGTGTGGTAATGTGACAAGCTGGTGATGTGCGAGCTATAGCCAAGATTGAAAGACATGACTGATGAATTTAGGTGCCCCCATTTTTGAGTGAGCAACCAGAGACACTTTGAAGGGGCCTTTATTTTTCAGAGGATAGGTCGTCAGCACTTTCTGAAAATAGCCTTAAAGATGTCTCAAGTCAGACACTTGAAAATTGAGATGCACGGAGTCAGCTGTTGCTTTCGAAAACCTTTAGCCAATCAGGCACTGATGTTGAGCAATCACCCTATCAGCAGAGTATATATAAGCAGACTGCCAAATGTCACACATCTCGCATGGCAGTCATGAAATTGGCAGGCCTCTCAGACCTGCCTGCATCTCAGTTGTTCACCCTCACACATCTGGATGAGACATCAGGCATTTATCTGCAGTTCCCCCTTCTTGCTGCCAGAGTCTGCTGTGGAGACTGCTGAGCAAACACTCTGGAATGTCCTCCCTTGCTGCTCCCTCAGCTAAACTGGGGCTAGAAAGGAGCAGCCAAGAAGTGGCAGTGACTGGAGGGAAAGTAGGGTTGCCAACCCTCCAGAATTGGCCTGGAGTTTCCCGGAATTGGCATTGATCTCCTGGTGACTATTGAAAGTAATTGAGGATATTTTAAGAAAATGAAATTACGTCATACGGGGGGGGGGGGGGGACTCCCCGAATAGCTTCAGTAAGAGTTAGTAACCCTAACTAGCGGGCTGTACATGGTGACGGGGGGAGGGATAGCTCAGTGGTTTGAGCATTGGCCTGCTAAACCCAGGGTTGTGAGTTCAATCCTTGAGGGGGCCATTTAGGGATCTGGGGCAAAAATTGGGGATTGGTCCTGCTTTGAGCAGGGGGTTGGACTAGATAACCTCCTGAGGTCCCTTCCAACCCTGATATTCTATGACTCTATGACAGCAGTGCAAGGGGAGGAGCCCACTGCCAGCCCCATGCTTCTTTCCCACCTCAGTCAACTACCAGGCTGTCCCCGGGAGCCCTAGCATCCTCTGCCTCTCAGTAGATCCCTGAAATCCAGCACCTCCTGCCCCAGGAATCATCAGAAGTGCTAGCACTGTAGGAACCCTGTACTTCCAGGAGCCTCAGCAGCCACCCACCCAGTTATTCCCAGCTTCCTCTCCTACTCCCAACCCAGCAAGATTCCCAGATAACCTCAAGGACCTGTCTGCCCCAGCCGGAGTCAGCAAGGATTGTGCAACTCCATGTCCTACACCTGCTACTGCTGGGGACAGGGACTGTTACCATATGCTTCAGTTTATGGCTATATGAAAATTATTTGCAGATATGCAAAATACCTCATTACATTTGCATAAAGGTCTATGAAGGAGCACAGAACTTGGCAGCTCTGCATCAGGTTACATGCATTGTGGGCCTCCTGCATGCCCGGTTGCTTAGCATTCCTTAGCATTTGTTGCTGCACCAGCCAGGGCTTCCTTAATTTTGCTACAACAAATATGTGGGAACAGTGTAGGCAAAAATCAATCAGATTCTCTGACTCATTTCACTACTAGCTTTTTGAACACCTGATCAATTGCCTGCTGCTCACTCCTCCCCCACACTCCCTGCCTCCTCAGGTCACTCATTGTTCCTACAGGCTCTCTCTCTCCATCTCTTCGCTCCAGCCTTACTTTTCCAACAGGCACTCTCTCCCCCTTTCTCTTGGCCTGTGGGGGTGTGTGTCTGCCTGGGCTGTCAAGCAGCAGCCCTTCTACTTTAACTGCTACTAACAAAGCTATGTCTTTTGAGGATGTGTCATCAATGCAAAAAAAAAAAAAAAGCTATCCTGATGTAAAAGCTTAATGGAGACAAGACACAGGTTGTTCTTACCCAGGTAGTTAGTTGAGGTCATCCAGAGGTTGAGGAATATGGGATTGACTTTCCCTAGCTACAGCAAGGTAAAATCTATCTGTGCCTTGTCTCCACTAGGATATTTTAGTGAATTAGTGATCTCAGTGTAAAAACATAGCCCTTGTTTTTAAAGGAAGCAGTGTGTAGTGGAAAGCCATTCCAGAAAGAGGAAAAGGAGTTTTTAATTGGCTTGAAGGCTCTGGGATGCAGCACTGAAGACCCAAGGCTGTTAGGTGCCAGTAACAGAGCAGGAATTCAAGGAGAAGTACAGTTTATATTTTACTCTTGGCTTCCATGCGTCTGCTGACCAGTGGTGTCAAGTGCCATATGGAATAGATTCATGCATGGTCACATGCAAAAATGGAAAACAAGGGAAAAGCCCTCATCCTCTTTCCTTGTCCAGCTCTCAAAATGGGCATTGTTCCACAGTTAACCTAGGTACAGCAAGGCAAAGTGAGCAGAGTTACAAAGTGTTAGCAAACCCTCAAAAGGTAATTGGCCCCCATGCAACATTGTCTTAGGAGGCTTTCAGTCTGGCACATTGCTAAAGCAGTGTGGGATGAGGGAACAGAGAGGACAATAGGAAAAAAGTGGTGAACAGAAATGCTACAGAGAGGAGTGCACTGCAGGGATTTATTTTAAAATTTCATTAATTCTAGGTCTGATCTTCCAGTCACTGGGAGTAAGACTAATTTCTCATACACCTTTTTCTAGAGCACTGAAGAAGTTTGTAGGGGACCCCTGCCAGTTATATGGAACAGCCCCTCTCTAAATTGTAAATAATTTCTGCATGTAACATTTGCTTAAATCCAGGGCAAACTTCCCAGGGTACCTACTACAATAGTACATAGCTGAATATGAGTGTGAGGAGAAATTTCTGCAGAGTTGTGGCTGGCAGTTGATTTGCATGGGTGTTCTTGGCAGCTTGAGTGCAGGGAGTGAGAAGGAAATTGTGTGAGGGCTGCCCTATGTTTCTCCATCGTCTTCCAAGAACCTCTTCCCAGTGATACCAACTTGCATGAATTAAGAACAACATCAAATATTGTGAGATTTATGGCAAAGCCTCTGCCCCTAAATTCACGTGATTACGCGAAAATCTCAGCTTTCATTAAAAAACAAAATTAGCTCCTGGCCCTCCTGGTTGTAGAGAAAAGCTTGAAAATGTGAACCATTAAGATTGAAAAACCAGAAAGCAAATAAAAAGTCCCAGAATGTCTTTATTTTTAATCCAATGAGATTTTAAATAAAATCTCGTGATATTTGGAGGGCCTGACTCATTTAGTTTAAACGTTTGGGCTTGCCAATGCTGCTTCGGTTACACTCTTTCCGGGAAACCTGGAAGGCAGAAAGCATGCATGATAGCGCACAACAACAAAACTGTACTCTATGATAAGCATGATGGGGCAGAGAGGCCTAGTATATAGCTCATCTGGGAGACAAATAAGTGTGTCCATAGTGAGGGGAAATTTTTTTTTTTTTAAATTCCAGCCCAATGAAACTTATCTCCAAATCCATCCCTAACTTTGCAGTATTTTAGTTGCAAATTATTATTATTTGTTACAGTAGCACTGAGTCCCCCGTCAGAATCTGGGCCTTGCTGTCCTCTATACAAATCCATATTAGGGTGCTCACTGCCTCATAGAAGGTACAAAGTAAATTAATAACCAGCTTGTTAATAAGCGCTGCCCAGCAGCTTTGTTAAGGCTCCTGATTCTGTTGCAGAAGGACAAAAAAGAAGGTCACACTAACAGACTCTGAGAGGACAGGTGAATGGATACCACACAGGAGCACTTTGGAAAATCCTTGTACTGTGCACACTGGAAAACCCCTAAGCAGTCAGCCTTTGCCTGCTCATCAAACTGGCTTTTCAAATGAGAGATGTGCCTGTTTTGTTTACTTATTACATCTACAGCTGTAAATGTGCATACATCTGGGCTGATAAAATCCGACTTAGGCTACCGCTTAGGAGGATTTGAAAATTCTGGTCACGTGTCTA